TCTCTCACGCAGGTTTGCAGTTCGTCCAAGCCGTGGATCAGACGTGCAGTCCTGCAGAGAGACAGTTCTCGCGCCACCGGCTTGCAAGCCGTGCCTCCGTCCAGAGGAGAAAGCGGGCGGCGTTTCGCCAATTCTTCTCTCACGGCTATCGCCTTCTCTGGCGTTTCTCCCGTGCGCAACGATATGTGATGAGGCCACTCCACGTTCAGTTGATGAAGAACCATGATCATATGAATCAGACTCTCACCTCGATTGCCACCAGCCTCCCGAAGGTGACGTACTGCAAAGGTCGGACCTGCATCGTAGCTTCCAAGTAAGCAGAAATCTTTACGAAAACGAGCAATAGCAGCCGCCGCAAGCATTTTGCAAAGGGCTCGCCGCCCCGCCACAACAGTGCAGATTGAGGGCGTTTTCCGCACGTGGTGCAAAGTTCCAGCCGCATCTGCGGAGGGAGGTGAATCAGAAGAGCTAAAAGCAATGACGGCATCAACATACTCCAACCAGCCATGGCGACGCTTTTGTCGAAGAATTTATTATGATGATCTCGAGGCTAAACATTCGCGCGAGCATTACATTTGCCCCTCCCCCTATTTTGGACACGTAAAAACATGTCTGGAAGTGAAACGGCCCGTTCGCACTCTTTTGTAGCTCCCGCATGCTGTCCGAAAGAGTGAAACCGGAGCGGCGCATCAGGTGCCTCTGCACACCGGCACTTGATGCGCGTGCGAATTCAAGCCGCTCAAAATGTCTCTGCTGAAGCGTTCTCCGACCTGCTCCAACCTCAAAACGAAGAATCAGAAACGTTTCTCTTCGCACATCCGGCACCCCGACAAAAATAGGATTGAATATCAAGATTTCCCGGAAGGCGAATGGCTCAGTCAGATTTTTGGCTTTAATAGACATTGCAGGCAGCTTCTTGTCATAATCCTGGTTGTTGATGAGTGCTGTGGGTGGCTGGAAACAGCTCGGTGCAGAGACCCGTGAAATCTTCCAAGTCAAACGGTGGAGCCCCGTTTGATAATGCACCCGTGGCCCCGCCTTCCCGAACCCTTGCCCAAAAGGACGGAAGGACCCATGTGTGGTGGGTGGGATCCTCGTCTTCTTCTTCCTCCCCCCCAGCCGTTTGAGAGGTGGTATGGAGATCACCGGCCGCTTGTGGGGGACCATTTCTGGCAGGAAAGAGCGGTCTGGCTGGGCCACACAAGGGCGGTGATCTTCTGATTCATTTGGCACCAAATCCAAATCTGAGCCTGGATCAGTAGAAGGGCTATCCAATTCAGTTGGACAAATCGATGGGCTGTTGGGAGGGGTGTTGTTTGTAGTGGAGGGCTTTTTAACCCAAGGTTTCTCAATTTTCCACTTTGTCGGCCAGTGATTCTATGAGATGCGGCTCCTCATTCTTGCCATCGAGCCATGCCACATGCAGCCGGCGGTGTCGTCGTCTCGTCTGCAGCACGTCGTTGGGTCGCACCCCCCAAAGCAACGCTCCAAAAACCCGTGGCAGGTGTTGTTTCGCAAACAACTCATATACAAACAGCCGAATCCAATGGACACCAGGCGTGCGTGGAAAGTGGAAAATTATACTAGTAGAACCTAATAGCGATGGCCTAGTATAGAGTATTATATAAAGAGTGATATATATATATATATAGAGCCTTCATTGCCTTCACCCTTCCTGCGCACGTGACACTCTTCTTCGCACCGCACGGATGGCGCCTCATGCGTCTGTCTCCATCGTCTCACAGATTTCAGGAGCTCCACAGGTGTCGAATCCTGCACTGAGAACAGTCAGGTGACCACTTCGCGCGGCGTCCGGAACGGTTCTATACCACTTCGCCAGGAGATCCTGGCGACACGATCCATGTTGTGCGCATCGAACTTTCCATCTGTTCCCGTTTAGAGTGGATACCAATAGTTCAAGGTTACCCACTGAGTGGGTAGGTGACATCCTGTTGAGCTGGAGAAGCCTTCAAATAGTTGGAACACATCCACATTTTGCTTCAAGAGAGATGGTCTGTATTTCTTGGATATATCATCCCATTCCCTGTAACAGTGGATGATGACGGTTAGTAGAGGCCTTTCTCTACAAAATACTTGTTTACCAACTGTTACGGGTTGGCTGGGACACACCCAATGAATTTCCATAATGTTGGAACCACTGAACCACTGCTTAGCCTTCAATGCCGACAAGGCAACACGCTCCGAACATGATGAGAGGTCGCGATGTGACCACGTCTTTATTCCCTATACTAGTAGGGCTCCAACCACATCCCCAGATGATGGTTCAGTAGGTTGGAAGCCATTGCTATTAGGGTGGAGGCCATCGCGACTTGGAACAAGAAGCTACTAGTATGATGGGCCTTCTGAGGATATTGTTGGAGCGCGTTCGATCGAAGCTTTGCGAAGTTCCTCAGTCGGGCTGTGCCGGTGGGGACAGAAATTCTCACTTCATAAACATACAGTGTGACTTGGCCCCAATCCATGTCGACTTGGAACCGTCAGTGTCACCACCCCTTCTTCCCTCCTTGAAGGTGAAGGGTCCATTCTCCTGCAATCGGATGACTCCACTCCAACATCAAGAAGAATGCGTGGTTGATTTGAGCTCCTAATCTCAAGTCAGTACTGAGCGGAAACACAAAAACCTTCGCTCAAGGTGCATCCTTTGATCTGATTCCTGAGTCTATCCTGTGCAGGAGAACCTAGCAAACTTCAAAGGCTCCAAGTTACGCAACATATCTGGGATTGTAAGGATCATATGCCAAAGAGGCTTTGTGCACTCTAACTATTCTGACTCATGTTTACATGCCAGAAACGCCGTGCCTATAGGACTGTCCAGAAAAAAGCGCCGATTCGAGACCGAGACCGACCGAGTCTGGTCACGCACCAAGTCTCATCGGAAGTGACGGAATTCTAGCACCGTTGTCAGCTTCCGCCCTCACCGCCTTACTACTAGGAGCAAGGACGCTACTAAGGGCTCCTGTAAGCTACTACAAGGAACACGAAGCCACTAGGGGCCCCTGGCCTTACTACTAGGAGCAAGAACGCTACTAGGGGCTCCTGGCCGTACTACTAGGCCATACTACTAGGAGCAAGAGACTACTAGGGGCTCCTGGCATCGCTACTAGGAGCAAGGACGCTACTAGGGACTCCTGGGAGAAAGGACGCTACCAGGACTCCTGGCATCGCTATTAGGAGCAAGTACTAGGGGCTCCTGGCCTTACTACTACGAGCAAGGATGCTCCTAGTAGGGGCTCCGGCCGTACTACAAGGAACAAGGGCGCTACTAGGGTGTACGGGCTGGCCTTACTACTAGGAGCAAGAACGCTACTAGGGGCTCCTGGCCGTGCTACTAGGAACAAGAAGCTACTAGGGGCTGCTACTAGGGGTTCCTGGCCGTACTACTAGGAGCAAAGAAGCTACTAGGCTCCTGGACGCTACTAGCCTCACTACTAGGAGCAAGGACGCTACTAGGGGCTCTTGGCATCGCTACTAGGAGCAAGGACGCTGCACTACTAGGAGCATGGACGCTACTAGGGGCTCCTGGCATCGCTACTAGGGGCAAGGACGCTACTAGGGGCTCCTGGCCTTGCTACTAAAAGCAAGAACGCTACTAGGGGCTCCTGGCCTTACTACTAGGAGCAAGAACGCTACTAGGGGCTCCTGGCGTTACTACTAGGAGCAAGAACGCTACTAGGGCTCCTGGCGTTACTACTAGGAGCAAGGATGCTACTAGGGGCTCCTGGCCTTACTACTAGGAGCAAGGATGCTACTAGGGGCTCCTGGCCTTACTACTAGGAGCAAGGATGCTACTAGGGCTGTCGGTCCGCGGCTTCACTCCTTTGGCCTCCCAGCTGCTCGGTCCGCAGCTGAAGCGATGCCGCTGTTCCGCACGAGCGGAAGCGAGGCGATGCTGAGGAGACACCAACGGCGAGGTTCTCCTGAGAGGGCAAAGTTGGCTGAATCAGATGGTGTGGTATGGTGTGGTATTATATATATATATATGGTGGCATGCATACCACACCCAAATGGTGCTTGGATCACGATGGTATTGGCGATAGAACGCTAGATTGAAACTGGGTCTGTCATTCGTCCGTCGAATTCCCTGGAGCACTGATACGGTCTTTTGGCACCCAGGCCCAGGTGAACCCCCCAACGAACAAACTGCGAATCCTGTGGCCCGCATCATCAGCACCAAGTTGCTATTGACCCCAGCTTTTAGCTATTTTAATTGGGAAATGGTTGACATCGTTTTGCCACCCAACATGGATCATGCCATGCAATCTCGATCCAAAGACACCCGACTCGGCTTGCGTGAAATGTACCGATCTTGTGACATCTGTGTTTTCATGGCCTCCATCGATCTCGGGAGCTGATCGACGTCAACGAAGGCACCGCACGTACGCCCACGAGCGAATCGTAGACACATTGACTGGATTCTCTCCGGACAACTAAGATCTCAGCTCTTTCCCCATCCGAAGAATCAACAACACTCCATCCGACAGGCCAGTTCGAGTGCTCAAAGGCACCAACCAGTCTCTCTCTCTCTCTCTCGCTGGCCTCTCTCTGTCATCTCCCGGCCTGGTCTGGCGTCCTTCCTCGCCCGGCATGATGGCTGTGCCCGCCATGGCCCTCCCGCAACATTGGCAGGAAGGAATACATGCCCATTTGCTAACATGGACCTAAGGTTCTTGTACCTCCAGCACAAACCCAACCGGGGCAAAATAACCACTGCTAGAGGACCATCAATTTTTTAGGAGTCCATCAATGTTAATTCCCTGCAAAACATAATAGACTTGAGATCCAGCAATTTTCAGTGGCATTGATGAACGTTAGATAACTTGAGACCATCTTCCTGCATCGATGCTGCACATGGGAGCCTACATCGATTGAATTGAGACCCACACACACACGTGACGCTTCGGGAACAGAAAGTGCAAATATATACGTATATGCACATATCCTTCTTCCCAGGGAGCGCTTGCATGGACTTGGAACTGATGAGCTGTAGCTGCATAGCTTTTCCACCTCTCTCCGTGCTGTTTACAACCAACATCAACCAACTCTCACTCAAAGAATCCCACAAAATCTTCTGATCTCTTCTGTCTTCGCTCCGTTGACTTCTGTTCCCACGCATCGACCTCCGATCCCTCCACGCCGCGCCGCACCGTTGGCGCCCCCTAAAGACCGGTTGGGGCCCGGACTGCGCTCTTTTCTTCGAGGGCGGGGCACAACTGGTGGGTCAGTTCGATCGATTTGTTGCGAATCCACTCGGATCCGCGGTCACCGAGGCGAGAGGGAGGTCTCCACTCAGCTCGGAGGGTTCAGGGTCAGCATCACCATCCAGTCGCCCTGGAACCACTGTGGCACCAGTAAAGCGGCCTAGGGCGGCACGAGTGCCGCGCGCGGCGTTCTGCGAAGGGACAAAGCAGGCCCAGAAGTGGTTGGCTGAAGGGAAAATTGATGAAGAAGTTTTGGTGATAACATGTGGATGTTTGTTTTTGGCTCCATTTGGACGTACACGCGCGTTTCTCGAAACGGTTTGCCCCATGTAAACAGAGATTTTTGACTGGTGTTTGCTGGTGTCGACAGTGTTTTCTTCACGTCACCCTTTTCTATGGTATTCGTGGGGCGTTGAAGACATCTTTTGTAAAGAAGGTGTGTGATTCTTTTTTTCTGATGCATTTATTATGTGGTTTTGTGACGCATGTTTCTGCCCATGTTGCGCACGCACTTGATGCTACCTTACACATGGGGTTGGTGTGGCAGGGTATCCTGGCTGAGCTCCTGGCTGAGCCAGGCCTCATGAGTGTCTTGGGAAGTTTTGCGAGTGTTGCTTTGTACAGAAACCATGTGAAGAATGCTCCCCACATGACTGGGCGGATATCGCAAAGGACAAGGACTGGCTGAGGTAAAACACTCATGGAAGTGGAGAGCCAGGGGGAGAGGCGCGATTCGCGCGCGTGTACAGCTAAATGAGCCGTTGTTTTAACATGTTTTTATACTGAGACCCCCAACCAATGAGTTTTTGTCAATTTCCCTTCTTCTGGGGTGTCGAACTGGGAGGTCTCCCTTTTTAATACACACTCATGTGAAAACCAATGGCTTCGCTGTAGATTTTCCCTTAAGACATGGAAGACCTTCCCCATCCTTCCCCCCTGAAGACGACCTGGACGTGTGACCGGAGCCGCCAAACAAAAAAACATGGTTGTCATTCCCACTCAAACTCCCATAAATTTTGGAGTGCATGCTATGACTTGGTATGACTCACTTGACCAGAACCAAGTCATGGTCACTCACCCTCATGAGGCGTCGTTGGTCAGTCTCCAGCGGACCGCGGCGTGACGAGGTGACGAGGAACGAGCAAAGACTCCGCGGTGGAAGAATTCCCACGCAAAGACTCAAAGACTCAAGAACTAACTGTCTTAGGAATCATAGATTTGACTCTTTGATACTTTGCCGGTCTTAGTCCCCTCGCAGATTAAATTTATGACCCTATAATGCAACATAACATGATGTAACTATTCCATATACAAGGAGTGTCTGAGGTCAGTGGGACCACGCCAAAGCCGTGGCGCGGCCATCATGCAACTCGATTGAGGTCGCCTATATGGACCGCCCCACTGGAGAGTTGACATGCCAAAAACGATGGCCAGCAGCTCATCCCGGCAATTCGCCCACCAAAAGATCCCCTAAAAATGACGCATCATAGGATCCCCCTTCTCCTTGCCGTTCGACACCCTTAACGACCAATGACATCAACGAGGCAATTCCTCCAGACTTACTCCACGATACATCTTGAAAATCTTGAATCCTCGAAGTCGGGCAAGGAGTTGGTTCCATTGTTGGTGCCCAGTCAACTCACACCTAGAGATAGACTAGTGACTAGAGCTCTCCAAAACGTCGAATCAGAATCATGTATAGACTGTAGACACTTGATTCACATCCCCCTAATTTGGATTGTAAAACCTCTTCCTCCATATTGGGGGTTTATCAACTGAGAGTCTACATTAATCAATAATCAAGCCTTGTCGGGTCCACACAAGAGTTCACATCCGTTAAAACTTCAATAGCCATACACTTTGCCTTGCCTTCGCCCACTCCTTGCTACTTTGGGCGTCTTCCCTTCCAGTGCTGGGCTGCCCCCACACGCAGTGGGATCACGGTGAAGCAGATTGCGCCCAGGAACCTCAAGTCTAATTCCAACCTAACAGCGATGGCCTCCGACCTGACAGCGATGGCCTCGAACCTAACAGCGATGGCCTCCGACCTAACCGCGATGGACTCCAACCTAAAAGCAATGGCCTCCAACCTAAAAGCAATGGCCTCCAACCAAATAGCAATGGCCTCCGACCTAACAGCGATGGCCTCCGACCTAACCGCGATGGACTCCAACCTAACAGCCTGCCTCCGATGGCCTCCAACCTAAAAGCAATGGCCTCCGACCTAACAGCGATGGCCTCAAACCTATGAGCAATGGCCTCCAACTTATGAGCGATGGCCTCCAACCTAACAGCTATGGCTTCCAACCTAACAGCGATGGCCTCACACCTAACAGCGATGGCCTCAAACCTGACAGCGATGGCCTCAAACCTAACAGCTATGGCTTCCAACCTAACAGCGATGGCCTCCAACCTAACAGCTATGGCCTCAAACCTAACAGCGATGGCCTCAAACCTAACAGCGATGGCCTGAAACCTAACAGCGATGGCCTCAAACCTAACAGCGATGTCCTCAAACCTAATATAGCGCTGCACCAAAAGACCCTTTGACCTGATACAAAGTGCCCTCAGTCGTAGGGTGTGTTGGTCTGACTGAGAGCTTGGTGATGGGTGCATGCCAAAGTTGAATTTGTCCTCTTGACAGTAAACTGTCAACAAACTTGAGAACAAAAACAAATGGAACACGAGAAAGTAAACTTCCAATTGATTGAAACCCCCAAATCACTTTGAAACCCCCAATTCGCTTTAGTTCATTCCCTCATTCGGTAACTTTGTCGGTTCTCCACGGCCGGTTCTCCACGCCGCTGGCCCTTCACGAGCGGAACGTGAAGGTCACTTTGGGACGTCCCGGAACCGGTGGCGGTCGGACGGTCGGAGTGTGTTCAGCGGTGGCCTGCCTTGGAGGGCTTTCCAACCAGTGAAGCTATTAGGGGCTCCTGGCCTTACTACTAGGAGCAAGGACGCTACTAGGGGCTCCTGGCCGTACTACTAGGAGCAAGAAGCTATTAAATTAGGGGCTCCTTGCAGTCGTCCCGGACGCGCAGCCCTGCGTCGTCCCAGCGACACGGTCAGCAGTGCACGCTGTTGTAAATCGCAGACCTGCTCGGAGCCAACGCGTGAACCGCTCAAACATCGCTGAGAAGGTCACCACTTATGAGGACTATTTGTTTTGCCAGGTATTTTCCTGCAAAGGTGTAACTGCATCAGGAATCCAAAGGAAGTGGATGGAAGATGATATAAGATGATGGAAGTGGATCAAACATGATCAAACTAGATACCAACATCTGGTACCTAAGCATCCCCTAGCAGTATAGACTATTGATTCAGCTTTGAAAAGCTCACTTTGGCCATCTGCCTTCCTGGGAATTAAAATTATACACTGCCTACCCTAAGGCAATCTGCCCTGTTTTTCTGGCGAGCAAATGCAGGACAACCAAACATGGCCAACTCCGGGTTCTGCTGAGGTGGACGGCTCCCTGAATCGATCTCGGTCTTGCGTATGGCGCAAGAATCCACTTTTCAGGCTGTTTTGGACCCCAAAGCAATGACCAATGGGACCTAGGGACCTCTCTCGAGTGGTCTGTGCTTCACGTCGTGCTTCACCCGGCCACCTTCCGTTCGTAGAGAGACAGCACCAAGGTCACCATAGATCCTGCGCTCGCAAGTGATGGAGGCTTCTGATGCGCTCCAGTGTGCGGCTAGGGTGCTGATCAACCAGCAATCCAAAGGGAGACCCGAAAGAACCTGTCTGACCTTGCTTTTCATCGCGAAACCCGGGTGATTCTCTGGGATGCTCGTGGATTTTGTTTGGGAGAATCAGCTTCAAAGCTCGTGAAGGGCCACCACCAGCCTCACAAGACATGATGCACAAGTTCTCTACGAAGGTTCCTCTTCGAAGACTTCAAAGACACAACAGTCCCTCAATACACTGTATCCGTTCATACACGAAACATGTCACCAGTTTTCCACACCAAGCAGCCATGGGAGTGCCTACAACTATATACAGTAGTAAGCTGTACAAAAAAACAAACAATAAGAAAGACTGAAAGACTGATCTGATATGATGCTATCTTGGCTCTGGATTCAGTCTTCATCTGAACCGACAGCGCATGTTTCTTTTGAATGTATAGTTGTTTGTCTTGTTAACAAATTTCTCTTCAACCGCCAAACCGCCTCCAAACCGACGTGACGGTGAGGGTTTTGGAACAAAAACTGCCGCTTCAGATCCCCGAGCAATGGGTGAGAGGAACGAGAGGAACGAGATGAACGGGGAAGAACAAAACACCAAGAAGACACAATTTAACACATGTTCTGATATTCATACGAAGAATAACAACAGCAAAATCTGCAAGTCTGTTAACTTCAAACACAGCTCCTGCCCAAGCCAAGGCATAGTTGGCGGAGAAGAAGACTGCAGGCCTGAGACATGATGGATTCAACAAACTAATTTGCATAAGCTTCAAAAGAGCCTGAAGAAGATGTTGCTTCGTGGACTGTCATGTTGCTCCATGTGTCTGAAAACAAACGCAGTGGGCTTACCAATCGTGGAACACCACACGTGACAAGACATTCTAAGTGTGCCAGGATGCAGTCCAATGAATTCCTCTGATGAATATTCAGATTGATGACAAACATTTCACCACTGGCAATTTATGGCAGGCCATGACAGTACGTTCTGGTGTCAAAAAAGGATTGACTCTGATAGAATGGAACAGTAGATGCTACAAAATAGCCACTGAAGTTTCTGAACTTCAAACCAATGGTCGTAGAAGAAGAGTCTGCCAATCTCGCCCCGGATTCCATCATTTTCCTGCTGGGTGCCCCCTTCCAGCCAGGATAGGCTGTGGAGAGTGCCTCGACCTGGGCATACGGCGGCTTTGTCTCGTCCGGTGAACCACCGAGATTGTTCAGAACTGGCTCGGCTTTGGATTCCTAAGTTGTTCCCACCACGCGGCCACGGGCGGGAAGAAAACTCGAAATGAACGGTGATAGAAAAGAGTCTGGAAAACAAGAAGGTTTATAGCCTCCAACCGAAGAGGAATGGCCTCCAACCTGGAAGCAATGGCCTCCAACCTAACAGCAATGGCCTCCAACCTACTGTAATAGCAATGGCCTCCAACCTGGTATAAGTTTAATGACTTGGCTTCTGGAGTTGCGAAGAAGTGCCCTGCCTGTCCTGCTGGGATCTTGATCAGTGCGCATTGATTTTGTGGTGGAATCACCTCCTTTGGAGCCTCACAGGGCGCCTGCGTGTTCAGAATCTTCCCAATCTCAATCACACCCATTGCGATATTCTCTTGTCGCATTATCTTTCATGTTTTTTGTTTCTCTTTTCTTCTTTGACCTTTATATACTGTAGACCTTTTTTTCATCCACTTGAGCCGTCCCGACCTTCTCGGCAACCGAATTGGGTCGTGGAGCGAGCAGAACCAGGTGCCGGGGCCCACCATTCTCCTTGAAGAACCAGGTGCAAAGACCTCAGAAGGATGGATTGTAGCATTCGAACTCGTGACGGTTCTCCAATGAAATAGGTGGGTTGCCAAGAATGATTGCAGATCTGAGAAAATATAACCCTGTGAATCGAAAAAAGGTGTGACATTTGAACTATCATTAATAATCTATAGCAATGAGACGACTTGCAATTATTGATGCAGCAGAACTCTTCACGATCGGCCAATACATCCCTACCCTTTCCATGTTTCGATCCTACGTTCCGTCCAGGCTCTCCGTCGCCAAAGGCTCTTACTGGTGCCCCCCCTTGGATTGATTGTCCCAGATTCTGTCATTGAAAGAGCTTGAAGCTGGCCTGGCTGGCATAAATAGATCCTGGCCTTCTGGCTGCATTGTCCTCTCTTGAACCCTTATTGTGATCAGAACCCTAGCGATTGAAAGAGCTTGCCTGAAGCTGGCTTGGCGACCCCGGCACAGGCACATTCAGCAAGAGCGGCGCACTCATGCCAATGGCAAATTCTGTGCACGAGTGACGGTGACACCTACACTATCCCAGAGGATCCAAATACCATTCTGAGCAGGTGTATGGCCAATCATTCTCTAGAAGGTATTTGGATCCACAGGCTGTCCACAGGGTATACTCAAAAGACATGTGGAACACATGTGGTATCAAACAACCATCTCCCGAATCTTCGAGGAACGGCCACGCCACATGGCGCTCAGATGCTGAAGAGTTGGAGCGTGTGACGTTCGGGCAATGTGGGACACGGGTTCCCTTTTGCACCTCTGTGGAAACATCGGATGATCATGTTGGGCCCTGTAAAACATGTGAAGTGAGGATACTTACAGTACATCATCACCAATCAGGAACATGCTTTGGAAGCTTGACCAAGCAGAAACCTCACAGGGTCCAGTTTTTAAATCAAAAAACCCATGTGAACAGTTGGATGTGAGCTGTTCCTCATTGTGAGTCCTCCTCAAAATGCTCACATGTCCACGCTGGCCTTGACTCAATTTGCCTCTGGACACCCAACCTGAGGTCTGTGGCAGTTCGTTGTCGTTGGCAAAACACAAAAACAGCGCAGTGCACCCATTCGTGACATCAAACGCATATTTGTGACTTGAAGTTCTTGCACCTGTATTAACGCTCATACAAAAGGTGTACAGTATCATGTTAATCATGTTTTTGCACCATATTCAATCAAAACCTCTCTGGAACAACCAACATAACCAGGCTTCACAAAAACAGCCTCCCGTCAGAAACTGCCGTCTGACAGAGTCAAGCATCCAGCCCCCCAGAAAAAACTGTGAAACTATGAAGGGGATGTTCAGCCTAAACTTAGCTGTGAAAACTCACTGCCTTGATCAGTTCTTCCAGTCCGGCTATAAATTTCCATGTTTTTAGCACCGTTTTTTCGGTGTCCATGCTTGGTTTCACCGGTGTTTCGGCTCACAACTCTCCTCGGCGACGGGGAGGATGTTGTCCTTGGGGATTGTCCTTTTCGGTGAGAGTTTCCAACCACAGGTTCAAGCTTCGCTGGTGGTATTGGGCTGTGGTATTGGGCAATGCTTTGGGCAACATGTCGTCCACTTCTACTGCTATTGTTTTAGAGCTTTGGTGGTAGTGTGCGTGTATCTGAACCTTTCCCTGCTTGGCAGACCCTGTTGGAACCAGTTTGCGCGCACCGTCCACAGCATTGGCACCGTTGGCGGGTACACGCTGGACCTCCTGTGGACTTCTGGGATTGCACAGCCAGGTACAGCACCTGGGTTGGGTTCCGTTGGGTTGAGTTCGGGCGAATAGGGTAGGTATAGGGTCGTGTAGCTTGTCGTTGTGTGGCAGCTGCGAAGAGAGGACAACTCGCGGCAGGGAGTGATGTGGGGACATGCAGGAAGGTTTCGGGGAGGAACATGCAAAGCTTGAAGAGCATGCAAACTACTGTGGAGTGGAGTTTTAGTACGTAGCTATACTCTTTACCACACAAATAAAAGATATGCGATGATATTCGGGTATAGAAGATGCACTTTTGGGGGCTCCCGGAGAGCAAATCAAATAGAAGATATTCACTGCCGCAGAGGTAGCTCCTGAAATCCAATTTGGCCTTTCTTAGTCAAAACCTCTTGAGAGATTTTTGGGAAGCCAGCCAGACTTTTCTGTATTTACAGCAAATCCTGCCTGTCTATCCCAAACATGGCTCAGAGCCCTCCGGAGGAAAATTCTTGGATTTTTGAACCAGATCTTCCCGTCTGGGAGCCACTCTCGCAACATGACCGGTCTTGGCCGGGAAAAAGTGACAAAAACCTCGAGTTGTTTTTGTGCTTTGGGATGTCTTATTGTCGAGTCATCAGAAAAAAGTCAAAAAGAAGATAGTATTGGCAGTCAAGTAGAATACATATATATATATATGTTAAGCCTTTTTTTTTGCGGGTTCATGGTTATACGGTTATACCAAAATTACATATAGTAAATAATAGTTATATTCTGTTTGACTTTGTTCCCTGTTCTATGCAGAATTGCGCCCATCCTTTTCCAACTGCAAGTGTTCTATGTATATATATATATATTTATATTTAGAATTGGTAATGCTTTGCTAGCATTGACCCCAAGCCTGCCAAGTCCTCAGGCAGGTTAACCGTCAAGGAAACACCAGCGCAAGAGCATGTCGTCTTGCACGCTGGAAAAGCCACTGGGAAGCCCGTAAAGCCTAAAGCGGTAGCATTCCATATGTATTCCAGTTTCTGAAGAAAACATCCAGGATTCCCTGCTTTTGCTGTCCACCACATGCTTTCTTGGGCCAGGATCAGGACAATCAAAAACCCCGAATACTAAACAACAGTAGCAAAGGCAGAATCGGAAAGTCAAATAGAAGATCAAAGTCAAATAGAAGATCCACCACAAAATCCCACAATCAAATAGAATATATATTATGTTGAGCAGAATAATACTCAAAACTTGATGATTTTGATCAAATAATTACTATTATAATTGTCTTCTATGTTACTTGTTTGCCAGGCACCTTCCCGGATACCAGTCAAATAGAATATACTGTATATTTATAAATATATATAGCCGCTACAATTTCTTCTATCATTGAGGTAAACACTATAAATGCCCCTTTCCTTGCTTTCCTGCTTCCTTGCTTACTACCTTCCTTTCTTCCTTGCTTTATTGGTGGCAATTGGCCTACAGTATGTGCTTTCTTACAGAATGGTAGCTTGCTTGCTTACTCACTCATCCTTGACTTGCTAGTGGCGCTCGGACTGGCGAAGCAAGCAACCAAAGCAGCAAAGCAATGCAAGCCAAAATGCTAATTAACAAGCAAAAATACGCAGCAAGCAAAAACGACAAGAAAAACGTAACAACAACGACAACCACAAGACATCATGCTTGCAACAACGACAGAACAAATAAAACACATGTATAAATATAAAGAAACAAGTCCAACATAGTCAGGCCAAACATCACAGCTTTGCCTTCGACCTACCAAAGAACAGGCAAAAGCAAAGCATAGAGCAAAAGCAAGCAAAGCAGGAACACAGCAGGAAATACCAGAAAAGCCAAACACATCAATGAAAACAACAACAAGTAAAAACAATATAGCAAGACATACAGCATATAGCAAAGCGAGTCGCTTCTTATGAGAAGAAGAAACGTCTGTGACCACAAATTTGCCGATACCCATCCGTTTGGAAGTCCGACATCCCCATTCTTCCTGAAGTGCTGTTCTTTGGAGCCCAACAACTGAAAGAGTTATTGAAGTTCTCCTTTAGACTTTAGACCAGACCTTTCTTCTTGAGACCCAAACGAACGAAGCAGGAGTCCGGCTAGTGGGATCCCGACTATTGATGAGGAAAATGGCGTGGAAGATCGCCAGGAAGGCCGTGGCCTGAGCGCTCACTTAAATCGCCCCCCCCTTGTACGTGGCCTGGTTTCTACAAACAGGACCTAGCATGGCGCTTTCGTTCGACCTCTACTATTACCAAATTCAAAGAATGAACATCTCCTGGTTTTTGCTGCTGTCCAAGACATCATGATATAGACCAAGCAGCCGAAAAGAGTGGATCGAAGGGCCTTGGACGTCTGAAATCGATCGAATTGGAGCTCGACATCTCTGGAGAAGAACAGCCAAAATGGATTCTAGACTTCCAGTTTGGAGGGGTCCCACAGGGAGGTGGTAGCTTAGTAGCTAGTAGGGAGAGATAGCTAGTAGCTTAAGTAGCTACTAAGCTACTACTTAGGACGCACGATAGCTCACGCTTCTTCAAGGAAGCCTAAAGGCGGCGGGGAAAGCTTCCTTGAAGAAGCACTCGCACTATTCATTTGGTTCCTAGATTTTTGGGGAAACTTATGGAAACTTAACACATGGCTCGAGCGTTCCAAGGTGGAAACATTCAAAAGCGACGCAAAGAAGACATGTTGGATCAATAATTAGAAGCGATCACCCACCAACGCACTGCTGTGCACTGTGCTGAGAAGCCAACTGCAACCACACAGGGTATTCCGGCAGAACTCGAAGGCTCCTCAACCAGGCCGAGGACACACTACAAACCCATCGCTACTAGTAGCTTCTTGTTACTAGCAGTAGTGGCCTCCAACCTACTTGCGAGGGCCTCCACCCAATAGCATCCTTGTGACTAGTAGCTTCTAAAACCAACAAGAACCCGTGGGGACCAGGGGGTTGGTGAATCGTCGCAAACCGGGAAACCTCCGGGAATACTCTGACCAAGCCCCACCATCCAGAGTATTTGTGAGTTGACATTCCAGTAACAGAATATCTTTGTGAATGACACCTTGTCACATGCCCAGGACTGCCCAGCTGATCATCAGATGCCTCACAAACAGACCTGCTTGGATCCCTGATTGGTCTTTGAGTCTTTATTGCCCATTCACCGTGAAGGTGTCTGCTGGCTTCAGTTGCGTGGTCAGACTGCTGCTTGGGCACCGCAGGGCTTTCCCAAAAACCCTATTAAACACCCTGCGCCGCTTGGAAGGTGTGCTTTCCGTTTTGGGAAGCTCTTCCGCCGTGCAACCTCAGGCCTCAGGCTCAAGTTCCGCCGAACGGCCATAACCAAAAGCCCTGGGGTCACAGACTGATAGGTCAAAAAGAAATAGAAGCCTGGCGTCGGCGCGAGCGACACATATGCCTTCTCTCGGCGCAAGTGGAACAAGCACGAAGGGTTGTGAAGAATCCACTGTTTCTCTTGCGACGGGGGTCCTGGCCAACATGTGGCAACCAGTTCTGACATCCATGACGCCAAGTGCAATCATTATACAGTATACATTATAGATCTAATATGATTCTATGATGTAATTAGATTTGAGTAGATCATGGTGCCACCATCTGTGAATGGTTGCTTCCATTGGTGTGTCACCACAACCCTGATCGCCAGAATCTTCCAGAATCTACACTGGTCGTAGTGGTGAAAGTTCCGAAGCTGAGTGTAAACATCGTCGCTGGACTGCGACTGGGAAACGTGATGGTGACCAATATGTGACAATCATGTGCAAATGCAGCACATACATCCTATAAACAGGACCTCCTTGCCCTGCTAAAGGTGATGACCTATCCTTGACTCTTCCGGACAACCAAATTCGTGGGTCGTATGTTTCGTTCTAGGGACCTTATAAGGCTTGGGTCGGCCAACCGTGCACAGATTGGGAGGGCACAAACCCACAACGAGACCAGGGAGTCTCGTCGCGCCAGCTCGCTGCCACCGTGACCGACCTCAAGTCGTGCGAGACCGCGGTCCAGCAACGCTGAAGCCGTGCTCGCCTGCGGTATTCACAAAGCCTGCTGCTTGGAGGTTTCCATCCTGACATGCAAACCGGGACTGGAAGATGATTTGTCGCCCCAGTGACTCCCTTTTCAACTCAGCAGACAATTGTATAGATCTAAATGCCAGTCGCATTGAGCTTCTGGGTACAACCGCTTACCCAAGTCCCTCAGTTCAGGCGAGAACCGCATCCAGCTGCAGCTGAATCGAAACAGCAATGCTCAACTCTGACAAACAACCTTGCTCGCCTGGATAGGACACCTGCCTTGGTTTTGTAAATCTAATAGAATACTTTTGTCACAAGTGTCGCAAGCCAGTATTTAACTGCAAACCAAACAGTTTGGTAGTCTTGTTATACTAGTCTCAACTATTCCCTGATATCCCCGATCTGTGGAGTCAGCGTCGAAACAACCACACACACTAAGGCCATATGGTGCCAAAGAACAGACGACCCTTCATTGGCAGACAAGGGTCTTCCCCTTTTGTCTTGCCAAAGCCGATCGTCTCTTGTTCCAAGGGCGAACGGAATCCCCCCCAAACTCCTGGCGACCCACAACCCATCCCCCCCAAACGTTGCCACGACCCCCGGCGGAACGTGACCCCAGCAGAAGCGTCCTCGCCGAAGCCCAAGAGTTGCGAGAGATTGTCGAAGGGCCGAGGCAACAAAGAGGGCTGAAGCCCTGAGACCTGCAAAGAAACCCCCATCCATCGGACTGGAATACTTACATCAAGGCCTTTTGAATGGGGTATAAACTATTCCAGTCCCATGGATGTTCTGGCAAATGGCGTCGATCTGAACCACCAGTCATGGTGAGGCAAGGAAGGCAGCTGTTTTGATCAAGAGTACAGGTTGGAGGCAGTTGGCAGCTACTGTGCAGGTGGCTCAGAAATATTCCCTACAGTGAGTGGCCCTAGAGGTGTTTCACGCCTTTAGTCTTGGTGTTCCATGTTGAGATCAATTCTCCTCTATCTGGCGAATAATCATTATTGTGACCTTCCACTAAAGAGAATTGAAAAGCCTTGAAAACAGTGACCTTGGGGTACCATGAGATTAAATCATAAAAACAGGTACAAGGTACCAAAGCTGGGAAGGAAGCTTCTGAATTGGTGTGGGAAATATACGTTACGTTACATTACGTACATGGTCTGCTTTTCTGGTGCTTTCGACTGCCTGGAGGTTTTCGGCAATTCTTTCGATATATATATATATATAGATTGAATAACGGGTTGGAACCCTGAAGAAATACGATGGAACAAATAACTCCATCATGAAGCATCGGAAGCTGGCAGTTGTTATAAAACAATGTTAAGAAATGAAACAATGGACACCCTCATCAAATCATATTCCTCCAAAAGGTGTCCTCCACCTTCTAGTCTCAGTCGTCGCCAGGAGTGGAAGACCCTAGGACCTGTTATAGTAGTTTTCAGTGTAAAGTAGTTGTTTCCATTCACATAGTATAAAAATCGTATACATACGTATAATATAGATTCTTAGATGAAACACAATCTTGCATATGACGATATCATAACATCTATATATATAATCTATTCAGAAATTATATTACAGTATAGTGTGTGTGTATATATATATATTATTGTATATATACTGTATATGCTGTGGTCTGTGATGTCATTTTCCAACTGCCAAGGATCTCCATTGACAAAAGGGGCCACGCGTCGGGTGGGGCCACGCGTCCTTCCCTCTCTCAACGGCGGTGCCCACCGCGTTGATCGCTCCAAAGACCATGGAGGCAAGCACCAGCTCAAATGGCCTCAAGCGGTGGGTTCAGGTCGTGTGATCTCAATTCACAAGAACATATCACTTCAAGTCGTTGGGCGTCCTACCAAGTGCATTGGTCTCTACCAAGTTGGTGCTTGCAAACTTGAGCTCCGCCTGCTGTGGAGCTCTGTTCCAGACTCTTCAGTTGAATGAGAATTTGGTTGTGGATGACCTGAACAAGCTACCCCTGCTCACTGGCATCTTATGTACACATACTGATCGACGCTGATGGAGGATGTACTCTCCTATAGGGTTCTTGGAGCTATTTGCACCCCACAATGATTCGCCAACTGCAAAAAAGGACCTTCCCTCAAAACCTTTGCTCTGCTGTCTTCGCTGGTAAAAACCATCCTGCTGCCCAAACCCACCTATATCATTGCAGTAGATTTGCTTGGAGGCTTGAATGAAGGGCACTGGCGTCCCAGTGTTGTAGGAGTGTTTCGCACGTGTCTAGTAGAGGAAGCACTGATGAATCCCATGATCCAGCTCCAACTGAAGCCCTGTGGGGGAGCTTTGGGCAAGCTGAGGAAACAACATTCGGATTGTCGGATTGTTGGGCCAACCTTCGAAAGGTTCGAAGATTGATATACTTACTTTGCATCCAAAAGGACACCACAAATAAGGACCCAAAGTAATCCCTAGGAGAAAAGGCACTCCAACTTGTTACGCTTGGGTTTGTAGCAATATCTTGGGAATCTGTAAACCCTGCCGACATGAAATAAGCTTCAAACAAGTATGATAGGAATGTAGAAGGACATAATGAAGCAGAGCAAACAAAGCACATTGTCAGGAAAATAAATGGAGTGAAACCAATATTATGCGTTTCAAAATTACAAGGGTTTGCTACTCCAGCGTTGGAACTGTGACATTCTACACTACGTACAACTTGGAATCGGCAGTGGAGTTCACCACCATGTTGGGTATGAGGATCGATTGATTTCCTCATCCGAGCCCTTTGGGGGGGGGGGGTAACGCCACGAATCTCTGAGTGTAGACGACGTGACCACCACACGAATCTTCATCGTTTCCCTATAGATACTATGCCTGATGCCTGGACCTTCAAGGAACGTCCTGTCTGGAGATCCTCCTTGAAGTGGGGCTTCCAGCCGACCCCGAACAGATGGTGACCGGTTCTTCACGTCCGTCACCCTCCGTGTCCACGTGAAGGCTTTCCACGTGTCGGACCAAACAGGTTCACCGGTGAACCGAACCAATTTCACCGGAGTCTGGTTGAGAGTTTCGAGAAACTCTGGCAGGTCACCATCGGTCCTGGTGACGTAAATGAGTCCAAGATGCACATGAGAGGACCACTCGCCGCCGTTGAGGCGAATCACATCTCCAATTAGGATATCCAAGAGGTAGAACAGACCTGGGAAAAATCTGGGAAAAATGAGAAAGGCCCGGTCACCAGACGAAACCCGTTGTGAAAATCTGAATCCACCTTGGCCAAACAAAACATGACAGTAACTGGGCCATGACAATGCGGGATTCGAAACATTTCGACGCATCATTTAATAGCCCTTACCGAACAACCATGTGTTTGCTCAGGATGTGCTACAAAACCATGTCGTTCCCATTTGTTCAATGGTCTAAGGCGAAGGGAAGGAAAACAGGTACGTTTTCTGGGCCAGGTGGTGAAACAGAAAGGACTCCCTGAAGCAAGGTGGGATGATTTGGATGATTGAAAGTCCTCATTGCCAACATCGTTTGGCTCTCGAGCAACTATGCTACCAGCGGTTGTGAGGCGCTCGCCGGTCCAGTGACTTTCCGACTCCTAGGGGATCCTAGAAGTGGAGGCCGCCAGAAGTTCTGGGTTCCAGGGTGAATCCTTTTCATCTTTTATCTGAGCTTCTCACCGATCACTGTGTGAAGCCCGCCAGAGATGGCATGAACCTGGCAACGACAAAAGCTCCCATGTGCGCAATGATTCGAAGGCGCCCTGCATATTTCGCATTGGAGTTCATTGATGCCCTGGGGGAAAAACCTGGAAGTTTGGTGCAAAACCACGACTCATACCATCTTTATCAGATTTAATCAGTGGGTGTTCCTCCAAAACCCCGTGTGCCCTGAAACTCAAGCCCACTCTTCCAACAATCGTTGAACCACTTCGCTTTCACCGAGTAGCAGAATTATTGGCAGTCACCATACATTCTGTGGTACAGGCTATATAGAGGTAGCCCAGACCATCCATCCGACTGGAACAGTTACATGCAGTCGGGTCATTTTCGGTATAACTATTCCAGGCCGATAGATCGCCTGGGTAGGGTATCACACTCCACTACCTGACATAAAGCTCGGTGTTGCAGTTCTCCTCAGTCATGGAGCTTGGCACGAAGCTCCGTGGAATGAACACAGTACCCAGTGGCCATTTCATCCCGCACCTTCTGTCTCTCAAGCAATGTGTCCCCCTTTCTCCACAAGCTTGTACTAAAGTCGTTGCACGTCGATGCAGTCGACTGAGCTGTTGATGTTGGGTGATGGTCCATGTGATTCCGAAGACGGGCATCGCGTGGTCGTGCGCTCACGCACGAGTCCTCCACGTGGCATTCCTACCCTGAGCTGCCAAACATGGAATCAGCCAAGACAACAGGTGAATGGTGCAGTCAATATCAGCCAATGGCCCATAATGGCCCTCTAGCTTGCCGACAGAAAGAAAACCATGTGTGTGATCAAGATGTCTACCTTGACATTCAAACCGTAGTGCGGACTCGTGATGCCGATCCGGTCACCGAGTCCGCCGACATCGAGTCCGATCGACTTGCGGAGTCGGACGAGCCAGATCCGCATGCCAAGAGTCTGCGCGGGTCCACATCCGCCGGATCCTGGAGATCGAGATCCGGACCCCTGCTGAAGTCGTTCTTGAGCAGTGGGGAGGTCCACTAGACCTTGACCCTGACAGTCCTAGTGTTTGTTGCTGCTTGTTGAGGGAAAACAGGCTTATGCAAAGTGTCTTCGACCAATGGGTGGACTGAAACTGAACCAAAACTCCAAGAACAGCCATCCCAAGCCACTTCCAGCAAGAAACACTATCATCATTGGTCCCTCACCCTCACCTCCAGGCTGTTTTTTACCATTCTTCATAGTAGCGGTCGATCAAATTGGTTTGTGGACGATGTCCTTCCAAAAAGGCTTACAACTGATACACTCCCTGTGCTCTCATGAGGACCTGATGGGAATAAAACGGCCCCCAGAAGACTCGGATGACCAGGTTCAAGAAAGACATACCCTTTCATGATGACTCAACAGGTGATGGTTTTCACTCCCCCTTCATGTTCATGATTGGTTTGTGGAGTGTCTCAGTGTCTACCTCTCGCGTGCCCCATCCCTCTTCGAGTGCCCCAACGCCATCTCAGACCAGTCGGCCCGGAGGCCAACACTGCCGGCGGCATCCACCTCGGCCTCATCGGCTGCAAGGTCTATAAACACTAGATCCCAAACACGATGCATGGGACGACTATGGTGTATATATCTGGTTGGTGTTTTCAACCCACTTGAAAAATAGTCAGAGGGTCCAATCATCCCCAAGTAAGTGTTGAATATAGAAATATCCGAAACCATCACCTAGATCATACTATTATATACTCGCAGCTCATGAGACTGGGGCACGTATAAACCATGTAACATATATATATATATATGTGCATGTATATATATAATATTATATAGCTAGTGTACCTAGAAGGGTGGTTGATTTCCGGGTTCATTTGTTGTGTAGAAGGGTCTGTTGAGTGATGTTCTATTTGCAGGAGCAAGTGGATTCAGATCAGAAAGAATCGGGACATGACTCTCAGGCTCGGCTGCGTGCGACTGGAGGGTCCTTCTGAAAGCCATGGAGCCTCATTGGTCATCCCAAGAAGTCCGAAAACCACGTCTTGCTCCAGGTGAAGAGCAGCTGTGTTCCTCATAATTGAGGCTTCCTCACTGGTTCCAGCCGAGGCATTAAGTGACAAGTTCGCAATGTGAAATAGGCTGAAATTCATTTAATGCCTTAACATAATTTACAACACTCATATGTAGAACACAAATAGATCCACAATCAGTGACCCTGGCAGCCATCAAGGATCTACGTGGACAAAGTAGCGTTCTTGCTCTTCGTAGCGATGCCAGGAGCACTCCTCCTGTCCAAACGACTCAGCGCTTCGGACGGTCCCCGCCCCCGTCATCTCCGCCTCCAAGGACGTCCTCTCCGTCATCTCCTGGAGTCCCCCGGACTCGTCCGATCCACATCGTTTGATCCGAGCCGGGCCGGTGGCGCGTTCAGCGCCAGTGGGGCCACAAGCCAGTGGGGTTGTGGGAGGCAAAGCCCAGGCCCAGGCATTTGAAGAGATGAGATGCTGTTACCATACAGTGGGATGGTCCAAATAAGGAGTCAATGTAGGTATATGTGCCAGTACCATGAAGTGTCTGGTGCTACATGCTACCGAGCCTCCAAATGCCAACATGACAGAACACCATTCTCACTTGTCCATCAACGACAACCTGGGTGTGCATTTATGTGCATTTTAATAGGGACGCCAACCAATGGTTGTCTTTTGGAGGTCGGAGGTCTCCCTATTTTTATACTGCACCCATATGGTTGCGCAAGACCTTGCTTCCTTCCCTCATTCTTTTTAGCGCTACCTCAATTCATGTCAGCTTGGCTTGTTATGTGAAATCAACCCCGGTGAAAGATGCCTGGTTTCTGGAAAACGGCAGCGGAGCCCATCTGCCTGCAACAGAGATTCAGAATGCATTTGTTTAGTAAGAACGACTCTATGTTTTTTTTCTTCGGGGGGGGATAGGCCGCTAGTAGAGGTGAGGTAGGTAGTAGGGTAGTAGTTAGAGGTAGGTAGTAGGGCCTGGTAGGGTAGTAGCTAGAGGTAGGTGCTAGTAGTAGCTAGATAGCTATATGGGCGCAGGATAGCTCACGCTTCTTCAACGAAGCTCCCGCCGCCCTAAAGGCAACTGGGGAAGCTTCCTTGAAGAAGTGCTCGTACTACTGATTTGGTTCCTAGTTTTTAAGGGACACTTAGCTACATTAACTTTGATGCCAGGATATGGCTGGCATCTCCAAACTCGATCCGATCGATTTCAACTCTCCTGAACTGGCGCGCTGCCTTCTTTCAGTTTGCTCCTGTGGAACGGTGGAGCGGCACAAGCACTTCGAAACGTGGCGCGTATGTCAGTTTGGTCTGATGCTTTCTTGCTTTGTTTCCAACAAGTGGATCGCAAAAGAGGGGGTGACAGGCCTGTGGAAGCGTGCCAGGGAACTCCAACATACCATTCAAGAACCATACCTAGCAAATCCCAACAAGTCTGCTCATTGTGAGAAGCAAGGACAAGGATGAGAAACATCTAGGTTCAGGCATAGTCTGCAGACACGTTTCTTCAAATTAGATTCTGGTTTGGCAAGTCTTATGTCGGGATACCAAAAGCCTTTGTGGAAAGCCGCCAGCTCTCGTCTCCAGCTCTCAGCTCGCTCTTGCTGAGACTGAACAAACAAACACCCAGCAGCAGAAGCTGAACTTCAAAAATAGTCTGAAACAGTTGTGGATCGCTAGGGATCCAAGTACCCTCTGAGAAGGTACTTGGACCCTCCAAACCTACATAACTGTGTTTCCAATTTCCAATCACCTTTTCAGAGGGTATGTGGATCCCTAGGGTATTACTTTACAGCACAATTGAAGACTCTTCAACTGACTCGCGCGAACTTCACCCCAGGCAACGTTTACGTGTTTGACCGCTTGCCTCATGGCCATCGGCCGCCGGCCGAAGGCTGACGCGAAGCCGCCGGCGAAGCTCGCAGCCCCTCGCCGGCGCTCGGATCGGCTCGCTGTGGAGGACGGATCGGAGACGTAGAAGGCTACTGAGGACCCAGTAAGGGACACTTTCTTTGACCAGCTGGACACTTCCTTTGTCGATCCCGTTTTTTTTTCACGATACTTGTAGATGCCAGATAGACTTATAGTGACTCTGTTGAGATAACCCACTCAGGACGGTTCATGGTGAGAACAGCGCATTTGGAACATGTGTTGAGAACGCCTTTTACCTGCGCAACGATCCTTCTTAAGATGCAGTGTAGCAAACAGCCCAGGTTGACAACGTCCAGTTTCAATGTACACATCGCGCAAACAGAAAATCATCCGGCCGTGTGGTTCCAAACCACCCCTTGCTTGTTTGCACAACCACCAATACAAATTTAAAAGTAGATAGAAAACAATGATGATCTATCATTGCAAGACTCTTCTTAGTTCTTCAAAGTGACTTTTTGATTCCCTGATTTGAGGGGTCACAAACAGGCCTGCAAAAAAGGACAATTAAGCACTCAAAGTGGTCACGAACTGAAGAAGCTGCTTGACTGAAGCTGCTGACACTGTGCTAACGAGCTAGGACAAGCGCAAGCGCGCCGACGCGAGCGCTCTGACGCGCAGGACATCCTGCGCCAAGAAAGCGGGAGCCTTCAGCTTGCCCCTGGCAAAGCAGTCAGAAAGGAGTCAGAATCAAAAGAACTGAGATCAAATCACAACTTCCGGATGGCCTGGATCTCTGGGAGGTCACAAGATTCCACAAGGAACCAGTCACATTGTTGGATCTTCTCGCACCATCTAGCACAAACACCACCCAAAGGAGCCCAAATGGAATCAACTTGAAAGGAAGCCAAATTGGAGGAGATGTCCCACAGGCTCCCGCCTGCCTGGGAAAAAGTTACCGTGTGAGACCGGCTAGACTCGACCTCGTCTCGTCGTGGGAGACTGCGTCGAGTGAGTCCGCTTGTTGCCTAGGCCGGAGGTGGAGTTGGTGTTTTCACCGGTGATGAGCCAGGTGGAAGTGGATGGTAAGGAAGTTTCAAATAGAAGTGGTTTGACCCTTAAGCCTTAAGCCGTGCAAAGAGCTGGAGTTGGCCTGTAATTTTATCTTTTTTTCTGCTGTACTTCTGGTCTCGCTTGGCTAGATTCAGTTCCATCCTGCTTGCCAGTCGCCTTTATTTACTGCAGTTCACTGCATCTTACACCCTGTTCAAGGTTCTAAGGTAGATGACCTTCAAGCAACAAAAGCTCCGTGACGAATGCAGATGGATGCAGATGGATGCAGGCTTAGTTCAATAAAAAAGGCACACGCCGCGCTGCACACATCTCCCGGCCGTTTGGCTGCATCCATCTCGATGCAGGATCTTCGGTTCACAATCGAAGACTTTCGATCGAAGACTTTGACTTTCGGTTGGCGGCTCCATGATGTTTATCCTGGAAAGGCACCCGAACATATTGACGATATTTAAAGATGTTGGATATCCAGGAGTCACAAGATGGGGTGTGCCGAACTATGGAGGAAGTCGGGGTGCCCATTCTCCACTCACTGGATGGGACTCAAAACCCCAACATGACTCCTGGGAGTTCTTTGATCACGCTTAAAGAGTCCAAGTATGCTACTTTTACATCGCGGCGCCACCTATAGGCCATCGCTACCTTCGGGTGGAGGTCATGTAGCGACTATGGGACGTTCGAAGCCTTCGTAACAAGGACCGTCCGACCGGTCGGTGGCTTGTTCCGCGTGGAGTAAGACAGACGAGTTTGCAATGTGGGCGAGTCACCAGGATGCCAACTGATACCGCAACATACTATAAACCCCTCAGAACTCGAACGGCTCAAATTAGAAAAAAAAAATAAGCATCCAAACAAATTCTCACCTTCTCTTCAGCTGTTCCAAAACACCACCGGAAAGAGCAGGCTATCACAACGTCTCCGCCTTTCACCACGCGTGATCCACACGGCGCGGCCCGCCGCGTCAATTATAAACCACCACTGGGAATTTGCGCCAAGACTGACGGAGGTGAAAGTTCTGTGGCACAGCGGTGAAACAAACGACGCCAATCACAAACATCAGGTGTGCAGGTCACAAATGCCAGTCTTCTCAGAGACCAATCAGAAACAAATCAAGGAGAACCTTCCTTTTCGAGGGAAAAAAAAACAACGTGGTCATCTTCAGCGCCCAGTCACCTTCACATGGGTGCTTGCGAAAGTGAGGCCTCGGCCTTGCGGGGTGACCACAGTGATCTTCTTGAGTCCGCCACAGTGGTGGGGCGGGAGGCTGATTGGGATTGAACATGTCCTTATGGTACTCATAGTGAAAGATGTTGCATTAAGTTAATGAAGGGAACCTTTTAACATCTCTTTAACATCTTTTAACCCTTTTTGGCAACTTTGGGCTGTTTACGGTGGCTTGACTTTTCCTGCTATGTTTTACCATCAACACGTTGGGCATGATCTTGTCATAGTCATCAGCCGATAAACCAATACTCAACCCAATCCGTGGCCTCTATGATTCTCAGGCACTAACCGAAGTCAAGCCAAACTCACCGACCGAGACCACAAGCCGATATCAATTATGGTCTTTGACTTCAGGTACCTATAGAACCGAATATGTGGACACGTACCGAAGGCTTACATCAGGCGATCTGGTTAATTTCGTTGTTGTCTGCCCAAACAAAGCAGTCTAGTCTCGCATTCACAGAGCAGCTACCCGTTCTATTCCCAGCAACTTCCATTCAAATGAGCCGGTTGCTTGGAAAATGGCGTTAAACAAAGCCAGCTGCTCCTCCGTCAGGGCCTAATGGCCACGACAAACTTGGGACTGCCGTCAGGGTCCCTCTATCTGGACGAATGGAACTCCACCAGCCTCGCCGACGTCCAATTTCCCATCCAGCCTCGCCTGCACCCCCCACACCTGACACTTTTGGCGTCAAATTGCGTTTCAACAGCTGCATACCCTGCGGACGTGCCCGACCTGGTGACCGAAAAAGACCCTTCGACCAAAAAAGGGGGGGCCGCCCTGGGAACCCTCCGATCTTCACTCGCTCTCCCAAACACGACCCATATAGGACTGGCCTAAACGTGGATCAAGCCAGCGGTGGTTGAAACAGGGGCAAGGTAAAAATAAAACACTTGGAGCCAACTTGGAGCCTACTCCCTGGAAGAGACCCACATGGGAACCTGAAAACTGGAACCTGTGGAGGTTCCGCTAGTCTTCCAATTATCATTTGTGATCATCTTCCAGTCTTCAACAAAAACAATACCATTTTGGTTGTGTCTGTTTGAGAAAATCCCGAGCCCGTTCCCCCCACGGTGAAGTCAAAGGCCTCGAGCGGTCGCCGCCTCAGACGGTGCCACGCCGTGCCACTCGGGTGCCAGTCGCATCGGATTGACCGGTCTGTTGGTTTGAGAGCAAAACTGATAACCCAAACATACCCAAACACTAGATTGGGGCGCTTTCAAGGGTGAATGTAGACAAATATGCCATAATTCCATGGAGTGTCTGCGAAATAGAAACGAGTCAGCTCGGACAACCCATGCTTCTTGAAGACGACGGGACGTCATCAGTGACCCTAGCCGAAGAAACACGATGGCCCACATGGGTCGCCATGTCATCATGTCCTTTGTGTCCTGATCTCACCAATTGATGTTGTCACCCTTAAAGGTTCACTGCAATGAACCATGTAGTGACTTTGTGCTGGTCTGAATACTATGATCAAGGATAGAGCAATACAACCGATGCCAAACCCACAAACAAACATGTTTTTCGTCTTTGCTGATTGTATTTGTCGGAGTCATGAAAAACACCGTATGACAAAGAATACTCGAGCTGTTGCTAGAAGGAGTGCTACCGGCTGACTGTCTGTCCATCATATGGTGCACAAACAAACTCACAATTTCCATATACTATATGCAAACAGCTATGACAGATTGCAAACAACTACTAAGTGATGTCAGAACTTTTTGCATTACTCTTTGTATGCATGCGTGAGGCATTTGTTGTCGAACAACATGACACCTCTTGCTGAAACTTGCTGTCAAGTTCAGCTGATGTTGTGCAAACAAGGCCTATAGAACATGTTACGCATCCTTTAGGCATGGAAAAATCCAAAGTTGACAGTTGACAATCAAAAAGGCGTTCGGAGTGGCTGGATTTGAAAACGCGACATGAAGTGCAAACAATGTTACTCGATGACTTTTTCTGTGAAGGAAACCATACTCCTCACACACTGCTGCAACAATTCCTGCATAGCTTCTCCATTGCTGAACGATATTAATATATATTAACATCGCACTTGTGTATTAAATTGAGACATATGGCTGTGGGTCAAAACCCAAAGCCATCCCTGGTAGGTCCTTGTAGTCGTTTCTGTTCATTTGTGGTCAACCGGTCCCCAAAGCAAAGACACCAACAACGACGCGTCTCCAGAAACATGTGAGACAGTGTGCAATTTCTGAAAGGGGAGCAGTAAGCAAATAGAACATATGCTGATGTGTATATTTTTTGGGGGCAAAGCAATGACATCCAACATCACGCAACAGCTATGAATGCATCTATGAACAGAACTCCGGAAACTCTCGAATGTGTCCCCCTTTGTGATGAACATGACATAAAAGAGTTCAGCTGTTCCAGGTGTGTTCAATCCACAGCGCTGCATCCTCCTCTTTTCCCAACGCTCCTCACGAGTTACAAAAAGAGCTAGGCAGGCACTTCCGACACTTCCACTTAAAGAATGCAGTGTCCTAGGTCCAAGATCGCATTCAAAATCGTCGGTAAACTTCTGTCCATCGTTGGTCCAACGTTGACAGGCAACAAGAGTGACCGCAGCCACGATTGTTACTCATCCACGGAAACTATAGTGGTTGGCAACCGTATTACCATATATCATTGATCAATACATTAATCTATCTATCTATCAATCTATTCTACAATATCCTATCCTGTCCTGTCCTATTCTATCCTATCTCTGTATGCAAGACATGGTGAAAAGGCATCCCCAAAGGCCCGACCGCCCGCCCTCGCCGAAACGAGTCTGGGTGCCCCCGACCATGAGCGTCTTCTTCGAGGAGAAATGCCCCTCCAAAAAATGACCGCAGTTCAGAGCTGCTGAGAGCCAAGAGAATGCGGAGAGCCGAAACCAGTTCATGTCCTACCAGCGACCCCTGTTTCGCTGCATAGTCCTAAGTAGTCCTAAGAGAAAACCCCAACAGTGTTTACTGTTTGGGATAAACAACTGCTTCAACCTCTTTGTTGGTATTTCAGTCGAGTGGGGCCGAGTAAATATTCAACAATATAGAAACTCTTGATCTTGATGGTTCATTCTTCATTGAACGACAATGACCTTGTAAACCAAAGCAACACTTCTCAGATCAATACAGTTGGCAGTTGACCAAGTGTTTTGGGGGAGATTGGGTGGTCTTCAAGGTCGTGACCTGCCGACCCCGCGCCCAGCTGCTCCGGCCATTTTGAGGTCCCTCGGGACGAACGCGTCGAACAACGGTCGCGTCGGTCCATGTCTGGCACCTTTGAGGTCCAGCCTGTCTCGTCAGGTGAAACGACGGTGGGCCTGTGGAGAGTGCGTTCAAGACTATCTTGGATCATTAGGCGGACGCACCTACAAGGCAGGCGCTTTTGGTTTCGCACCACGTTCTGCGCACTCATCCGCATGACAGCCCGAGATCGATTTGAGAAAGTATTGGCCCGCAGATGCGTCGAGGACCATCGGGGAGAGGCCGCGAACAGGATGTGGGATGAATTACAAATTATACAGACATGTATGTAAATAGGTATAAACAAAAAAAACTAACAATCTCTGAAAAGCCTTGAAATCCAAGTTCAACTTGTGAAAGTTCCATTTTTGCCTCACGCAAGGTCAGCAAATTCACAATTCCCCAGGTCACCCGTTTATTCGGCGAAATCAGCGGCGGAATCTGCCTCGGAGCATTTGCCAGACTCAGACGGCTGACCAGTTGCTGAAACCTAATAGCAGTGGCCTCCAACCTACTAGCGATGGCCTCCAACAGTAGCGATGGATGCAGGATGGGTTGAAAACAAACTGGGTGTGGTGTTTTGAAGAATCCGGGCCATCCGAAGAATCACAGCGGATGTCAATGATCGACCCTTCGGCCGTCTTTGGTTCATCCACGGTGCTTGACAAACGCTGAACCTGACAAACTCTCATGGTCTCTGTGGGGAAGGTGTCGGATGTGCAAGCACTAAGAACTCCCAACTCCCTTACATGATGTTCTGGAATGGATGTGAAGACGACAAAAGGACTGTCCAAGGAATTTCCAGGGCAGTACCCACACAGGCTATATGGGTACCGGTATATATGGGTGGGTCTGTCAGGATATGCTTGTTTTGCATATTGAGAATGTAGACTGTTGATTAATAGAGTCCACCCATGTGGGTTGTAGAACCTCTTCATAAGTGTTTTTTCAATCAATCAACAGTCTACATTTATCGTATTTGCATGTTTTTGTTGGATGAGGTCGATTTCTTCCACTTTCCATAGCTGACTACTGCCCTCAAAGACCTCAAAGAAGACCATGCACCAATGTAATGTTTGATTGAAATTCAGCGCAAGCGGCCAAAATCATCAATCCGGTTCAACTCCTTTTGCAGGTAAAATTTGAAAGGTACTTCACCGAGTTCCTCGGTCGACAAGTTTCGCAATTCATACAAGGCAGCTTCTCTTTTGATCGGCGAACCTGTTCCTGGCATGCAAACCTACCCGCACAAGTGGAACTTCTTTCAAATCTCAAGTTGATCCGTCAACTACCTGTAAGTGCCCTACATTTGGGATCAAATGTTCCGCTCAGCGGCACTTTGGCAGGATATAGGATCCGTCAATACATCCGGTCGGCCTCCGCCGTGAGGATATCGGTGCCCACGCGTGCGCAGAAGCCGACGATGTAGAGGAGGAACGAGGCGAGAGCTAGTCCACCGCTGAGAAGGAAAGGCGCCTTCTTTGGGGCCGCGAGGCGGTGGCAGTGGTGCCGTGGGCGGGGCGTAGCGATGTGGAAAGCGTTTTGCGTTTTTGTTGCATCTGCTGGTCCAAGCAACAAACATCACGTGGTTGTGGAATATTCTTTGGCAAGGTTCAAGAGAAAGGGTTGGTTAAGTACAAAAGAGGGTGACCACGAGCAACCTGAAGAAAAAGGCTTGGAAATGAATGTGGTGCTAATTATTTGCTTGCTTCATGTTTGCATCCTTTACACGATGACTTGACTACTGTAAATCAAAATGACACATGGTGAAAGTTCACATTCATAGATAATTAGTATGTCAGTGTTCCCACCGAAACCACAAAAATGAATTAAACAGGACACCCCCCCTCTTTTCCAGGCTTTGTGTGTGTCATTCCGAACGCCAACCACAGCCTCCCAACTCTCCGAAATAAGGACCATGGAGACAATTCCAGCGATCACGCCGCCGATGTGCTCCGCTACGTTGCTCAGCACGATGAAGGTGTAGACGTTTTCCGGACCACTAATGCCACCTTTGTTGAAGACTTCTGAAGGAGGTTTTGGGGTTCTGGACCAGAGGTTCGGGCGGCTTTTGAAAGACACCACCTTAGGTGTTGTGAGTGTAGCAACGGACCATCAGTCAACAGCTATCTCTGGCAGCATGAATCTCACCAAAACTTGCTAGGTAATAGGTTTAATTAACATGGTTCAATAATGGTTTCATAGGCATCCTCTCGTGCAGCAAAGCCACTATAAAGGAGGTACATGTCAGATGCCGCGTTGCAGCCAAGGGTGTAGAAGCTACCAACAAGCACCTGTCCAATCACGATGGGCGCCGCCACTGGGATCAGCAGCAACGCATTCACGCATACGACCTGGGCAGAGACCGGGTAGGCCGCTAAGAGGAAGAGGTAGCTACTAGCTACTAGTTAGCTTCTAGGTAGAACGCAGGATAGCTCACGCTTCTTCAACCTTTAGGGCGGCGGTGGGGCTTCCTTGAAGAAGCGCTCACACTAATGATTCGGTTCCTTGGTTTTCAGGGAAACTTAACTAGTTGGAGGCCATTGTCATTAGGTTGAAGGCCATTGATTCTAGGTTGGAGGCCATCACTGGAAGGAAACGGCAAAATACCGATGCGTCGCGTCAATCGTGGGGGATCACGACTTTCAGGGAGTGATTTCTTGTTGGACTTTAGGGCTTGCGGACGTTAGGACGTTTGCCAGCGAGCTTTGAGTAGATCAACAGGCAAAAGAACTAATCATCTTAAGAGCCTTTTCCAAGAGAAGGAAGTGTGCAGGGTTGTTTTGTGGAATATCAGCTCTAGGACTCTAGGAGAGCCGTCCTGTCAAAAAGTTTCCACCGATTTCATGCCATGAGTGTACAAGGAATCTGCTACCTCTCTCTCTCTCTCTGTCTCTCTTATTCTGTCACATGCACAGGCGTCCCTGTGAATGTGTGAATGGCCTGCTAAATGTGCGTTATGGCTTTGCGAAGAGGCAGGTCCCTTGGTAGGGAAGTGCTTCATCTTGTTACAAATCCCATGAAGAGTCAGGCACAAAAAATGTGTTGCTGTGTTCCAATTATATAGCGAACACCAACTATCGCCATGTGACTAAGTGAAATGGCCACATACCTTCAAGGTGTTTCAATGCTTCCAGCTTTGATTGAGTGTGAGATTATTGCACAATGTGCAAGTGCATGTAGCTACATGGAGCTACCGTCTTGGACTGTTCTCTCTGGTTTGCTCCTGTTTCAGTCTTTAGAAAGTGGTTTGTGGTTGGACAAACCACCACAAGAAAATACATATATTGTCAATGTTGCGAATGCACATGTGAGATTTGTTTTCCATTTTGCAATGCATTTCATGATGAGAGCGGATAGATGACATTCAAGTCACACCGCAATCGAATTTCAATTCTCAAATCCGGCCGAAGGGCCCTTGAGTCACCAGCGGCGACGACCTTCGCCATTCGTTTGGCACAAAAGAAAGGACGCATCGCGGCCTTCGAGTTCTTTTTCTTTGGTTGCTTGGAACTTCGTGAGTTCAAGTACTTCGAGATTGGTAGCGGAGCCCAAGACGATCCTCCCGGAATTTGACCAGGGTGAACTTTTTGTTTGAAGACGCCTATAGGGTAATCCTGGCCGGTGAGAATTAGATCATCTTAAAGATCACGTTCAGCAAGGCAGTCACAAATGAGTGGTCAGCAAAGAAGACAGCGAGATAGACCAGAAGGTGAACAACCAGTTGATGTCCCCATACCTCCTTCTCCTCCACGTGCAGCGAATGGAGCTAGTCCAGGAACTCCTTCCTCTGGATCCAATAACTATCGTGGATTGGATAGTGGCTTGGCAAAGGCCGCACCATCGGCCGAGGGACTAACGCAAAGTGGCTATCGCAGCTACAGAAGACGATTGGAATTGTATGCCCTGCAGTGTCGTCGACGCTCAACGGATGCTGAGATTGAAGGTGCTCTTTTGGTCATCAGCCTTCTCAAGGACACTGTTTGGGATGCAGCAGAACAAATAGATTTGAAAGAAATCACAAGTGGAACAAATCCGTTTGCACCTTTGTTCAACATGATGGACCAGCTATTTCAATATGAAGAACAAATTGAAGTTCCATATCGGTGCGAAGAGTTCTTTCAAAGCTTCAATCGTCAGAAGGGTGAAGAAATGCAGGCATACCTCATTCGCCACCGCACTGCTTTGAAGAAACTTCGAGAGGTCAAGATCGACATTCCACCACTTCTTGCTGGATGGCACTTGTTGACCCGAAGTGGAACTCCAAAATGGACACACGTGCAAGTGAAAGCATTGTGCAAAGGCGAGCTTGACTATGAAGAGGTCCAACGAGCTTTGCTTCGAATGTTTGGTGGAGATCACAAACCAAACACCAAGGACATTGGACCTGTGGCCAAGTCATCCAAAGACGAGTTCTTCTATGAGGAAGACTTTGATGAGGAGTTCTACTACGAAGGAGAAGAAGAAGATGATTGGCACGAAATCTACTATGAAGGTGATGAAGATGAAGAAGAAATCCCTGAGGAGCTTGAAGAAGCATACGAAAACATGGATGAAGCCTACATCTCCTATTTGGAATCAAGGGAAAGAATGAAGGAACTTGCCTTGGCTCGTGGCTTCTACCCCGT